GGCTAAGGGGAAACCCTGTCTAAAAAAAACAAAAAAAAAAAAAAAAAACAATAAGCAAGGGTAAGCTGACTGTAGGCAGCACTCTGAACTCTGATCACACAGAGCCTATCTCCTGCAGGACACTTGTCCTGTGGGCAAGTGAGGCCAGACCTTCTGAGTGTTAGGAAGTGACCGCATGGGGGCTGGGGAGGCAGGTGGCAGGTGTAGGGTGAGAGACAGAACAGTAGGTGACTACAGGGAGGGGCCTTCATCTATTCTTAGTTGGCACATCTCTCCTGGCCCTGGAATGCGGTCTGTCTTCTCCTGTACCTCCTCAGCCTCATACTGACCCTGCCATGGCAGGGAGGAATCAGTTGGGAGCTAAGTTAGGGTCTCATTTCCTTCCCACTGCTGTTCAAGTCCAGCCTTCCTAGCATCCTTCCCTCTGCTGGCATGGAAGCACTGGAAACCAGGACCTCTCTGGTCTCCTTGGAGTTTCTTTGGCTGCCCTGTGCTCTCTCTGGTGGATATGGTAGCCACCTGGGGGTATGTTGCAGGTGAGGGCAGCTCTGCCATCTTTCCCCATACCTACACCTCTGCCTAGGCAGCCCAAGGGTCCAAACGGCTGGGTCCTCTGTGGCTGAAGGTGTGCTGTGTGTTTGTGGTGGTATGTGTGACTTCTCTGGCCTCATGTACCCTATTTGTAGACACTGAGCCTGTCTTTGTCTGAAGCTTTGTCCACTTGACCAGCATCTTGCTGGGCCAGTTCTGTGGTTACATATATCCATGACACACTAGCTGGCAGGGTATGGAGTCTCTGCCCAGCTTCCCAGCACCCCAGCACCAGCAAGGCCTAGGTAAGGAACAGCTCTGAGAGGAGGAAGGGGCTGGTTCTACAGACAGGATACAATGGTTGTGAGGGGCTGCGAGGGATCTGGGGTGAGGGAGATAGAGAAGGCCACCCAGGCGGGCAGGTGGGGGTGGGGCGGGCATGTGGCCATGTTAAACACCAAGAGGCTCTCGGATACCTGTTCTGACCTGCAGGGCATGGCGACCCGGCGTGTCCCCAAGAGGACTGTGCTCTTCCAGCGGGAGAGGACAGGCCTGACCTACCGGGTGCCTGCGCTGCTCCGCGTGCCGCCAGGGCCCATTCTACTGGCCTTCGCTGAGCAGCGGATCAGCCCTGACGACTCCCATGCCCATCGCCTGGTGGTGCGGAGGGGCATGCTGGCTGGCGGTTCGGTGCGGGTGAGTGCCAGGAGCCAAAGGGAAACCGAGGCCCTGCTCTATGGATGACCCTGGAGAGTGGGCATAGGCCCCAGCTGCTCTGGCCAGCGAGCCCTCTCTCTTCCTGCAGTGGGGCGCCCTGCGCGTGCTGGAGACCGCAGCGCTGGAGGAGCACCGGTCTATGAACCCCTGCCCAGTACTGGATGCAGATTCGGGAACCATCTTCCTTTTTTTCATTGCGGTCCTAGGCCACACGCCCGAGGCTGTGCAGATCGCCACTGGCAAGAACGCAGCACGCCTCTGCTGTGTGACCAGCCGCGATGCAGGCCTCACCTGGGGCAGTGTGCGCGACCTCACAGAGGAGGCCATCGGTGCAGCGCTGCGGGGTAGGGCGGTACCTGGTGTGATGGGGAGCAGGGTGAGTGAGGAAGGGACTGCAAGATGGGTGTGGCCAGAGGTGGACCTGGTTTGGTTCCTTGCATTGGCCCACCCTCCATGGGAATCTTCATTCTGTCTCCACCACTCCAAGCTTCCAGCCAAAAAAAGTGACCCCCAACTCTGTTCCCAGGAGTGACCACCCCTTCAAGCCAGTGCGTGTTGGCCACCCTCCCCACACTGCCTGCTGGCAGGGCCTTGTCTTGACCTTGTCCTGGTCTTCAAAGGAGAGGGCTGGTCACTTACCCCAGACCCACTCACCTCACATCTCCCATACCATTTCCTTTTTGTCTCCTCCTCACCCGGCCCAGGCTTCTGGGCTCTAGTCTTTCTTTCCACCTCTGTAGTCCCTACCCAGGGGCCAACCACTCACTGCTCTCAAAGACCACCTCGACCTCTGCTGGTGGGGTGGCCCCAGGCCCACAGGACCCTGCACATCAGTGCTACACAGGGGTAAGGGTGGCTCGATGTGGCAGGTGAGTAGGAAAGAGGCTCATTCCAAAACCCCACTCATGGTCCCCTCTCTCTGCTGCTCTCCTTGTACAGCCCTTGGTCCTGACACCACCAGGCTAGGCTCTGCTGGTGGGCATCTACCTTGGGATGGGGCCAACCTCTGCTTATAAATCAAGAAACTGGCCAAAGGATGGGGTGTGGCTTAGTGGTAGAACACTTGTTTGGTATGTGCAAGACCCTGGTCTTCATCCCAGCACCATAAAACAAAGAAAAATATCTGACCGAGGAGGCTCCTGGTCTCCTGGGTACTGCTCTGAGAGGCTCCTCCAGTGGGGGTGCACTCTGGGTCCAGTATAGGGAGGCAGTCAGCTCACAAGCTGTCTTAACACAAGGATCTGGCTGCTTTTTGCAGACTGGGCTACCTTTGCTGTGGGTCCAGGCCATGGGGTGCAGCTTCGCTCAGGACGCCTGCTGATTCCTGCTTATACCTACCATGTGGACCGTCGAGAGTGTTTTGGCAAGGTCTGCTGGACCAGTCCTCACTCCTTGGCCTTCTACAGTGATGACCACGGATCCTCTTGGCACTGTGGAGGCCTTGTGCCCAACCTGCGCTCTGGCGAGTGCCAACTGGCTGCAGTGGATGGAGGCTTCCTTTATTGTAATGCCCGGAGCCCCTTGGGCAACCGTGTGCAGGCACTGAGTGCCAACGAGGGCACCTCCTTCCTGCCTGGGGAACTGGTGCCTACTCTGGCTGAGACTGCTCGTGGTTGCCAGGGCAGCATTGTGGGCTTCCCAGCCCCACCCTCCAGCAGGCCTCAGGATAAGTGCTGGTCACTGAGCCCTGGGAATACCTCACATTTCCAACACCTCTATCCCAGACTGCAGGAGTCTTTGGGGGAAGGTGCTGGAGGTCCTGGTATGGGTTGGGTGCCCAGAGGGCCTTTCTGTTACCCACAGCCCTGGGAGGATGGTCTAGAGGAGCATGGCGTAGAGCAGGGGCCAAGTGGAGATAGGATAACCTGGACCCCAACACTCCCTGTGTCCTCTTCTGCCTTGCCCCAGAGGTCCACTTGGTTACTGTATTCCCACCCAGCAGGGCATAGAGCTCGGCTCCGCATGGGAATCTACTTGAGCCAGTACCCCCTGGACCCTCACAGCTGGACAGAGCCCTGGGTGATCTATGAAGGCCCCAGTGGCTACTCTGACCTAGCATCCCTTGGGCCTGTGCCTGGGGCAGCCCTGGCTTTTGCCTGTCTATTTGAGAGTGGGGCCAGGGCTTCCTATGAGGATATCTCGTTCTGCATGTTTTCACTGCGTGAGGTCCTGGAGAACGTGCCCACCAGTCTAGAGCTACACAGTAGCAGGAACAAGCCTCAGGGGCATTGTTGGCCCTCTTGATGGGCCTGGCCCTCCGGTGGAGCACTTGGGAAGGAGGGGCGGAATACACAGCAGAGGCCAGGGGGTGGGCCAGCATGACCTCAGGATGGATAGAGATCAAATGGTGGAGTTTTTAGAGTGGCTGACTGGTTTCTAAGTATGAATGAAAAACAGGGATTGTGCTGTGTCTGTTTCTTTCCATGTCAAAGCCTGGTGAGGAGGTCCCAGTGCTCTGCTCAGTGCTCCAATCACCATGCAAATTTCCCTGCTTTTGTCTTGTTCAGATCCCACATGCCCAGGAGTAGGCTGGAGAGGTGAAGGCACCGGGAACAGAGACTATCACAGCCCCTTTCCACCATCTGCTTTGTGCCATCCCCAATCTATTTGGGATTTGCTGATGACTGAGGTCTAGTCAGTTTCTGAACTTCCATCAGGAGAAACAGCTGGGAATCCAGTGTTTTGAAAGAGTCTTTTCTCACCCTCTTAGCTGGTGGGGACAGTGCTGGATTTGAGCAGGGATCACCTCTGGATTTGAGCAGGGATCACTTCCTAGGACCTGCTTCATTTGCCCACTCCTTTACCCTTCTCTGGAGAGATCTCTGGTTCCATCTGAGCTGTTCCCTTAGAGAAGCCCTTTTGTATTTTTTTCTCTGTAAAATGTTTCTAATTATAAAAACAATATGTGGGTGTTGGGGAGATGGCTCAGTCAGTTAAAGTGCCGTGTAAGCATGAGGACCTGAATTTGATCCCTAGCATTTATGTAAAAAACCTGGTGTGGTGGTACATGTGTAATTCCAGCACTTGGGAGGAGGAGATACTTAAACCCTTGGGACTCCCTGGCTAGCCAGACTCATCTAATTGGCAAGCCCCAGATACACACACACACACACACACACACACACACACACACACACA